GGAGAGACGAGTAGAGAGAGAGAGAGAGAGAGACGAGACGAGAGAGAGAGAGAGAGAGNGAGAGAGAGAGAGAGAGGAGGCTTGAAGTGGACGACGATTCGGTCAAGGAGCCATGTGCGTCGAGCCCACACTAGGACCAGGCGTGCAAGGGCCGAACAATGAGGATAGAGGCGTGGCTGGTGGTGAGACTTGACTGGTTGGCCTACGGCGTGGGCCGGGTTCGAGGTCCAGGTCCGAGGGAGAGGCCGGCAGATCTGTTTGCGTCGCCGAGTCGAGTCGAGAATGGAGGGTGCGGGTCGAGGCCCGTGAGGGCGGATCGGGCTCGGAGTTTGAGTGTGTAGCAGATGAGAGCGAAGAGAGAGAGGAGGCCGTATCGGTGTAGCTTGGTAGGGTAGCCAGAGCGCGAGGCAAGCCAGAACTCTGAATGAGGTCGATGGCCGGTCGACGATGTCACAGTCTTGAGTAGTCGGGCCAGCCTGCCCACTGCCCTGCCATGGCCAGAGGACCCTGAGCCTCTGCCTGGCCAGGCCGGCCCTGGTTGCCGCTGCCGCTGCCGCTTTGTTCGCGCCAATCGAGCCAATCCAAAGCCCGATTTCCGAGCGAGGGCGGCGGGGGGGCCAGGCCAGCAGGTCGCTGTCGAGCTCGACCTGAACCTACTCCGTCATCGAAACCCAACCCGCTCCCCGCAAGCTGCGATCTTCGGCTTCCTCCGCCTTCACTTCGATCCACCCCGCCCGCCGACCTACGCCCGTCGCTCATTTGTTCTAGACCCTTTCGTTCAAAGACACCGAGACTTGGACTCTGCACCGTGCCCCTCCTGCTCGCCGGCTGGCCCGATTGCGCCCGCAGCGTTCTATTTCCAGCTCGTCCATCTCTCTTCAGCGCTTCCACTCGCCCACCGCTATCGAAGCCCGGACCACCGACCGCTACCGACGCTGCACCCCTCGACCATGGACCTCGCCAACGGCACCGCCTCGCCCGTCTCGGTGGGCGAAGGCTTCGTCGAGACCGCGGCCTGGACATCCCAGACCGAACCATCCGCCAACGACGTCGTCGAAAAGGAAAAGCTCATCAGGTACGTCGTCGTCGTCGTCGTCGTCGAGTCCCGCCTCTGTCTCCACAAGCCTTCTCCTCCGCGATCCTCGGACCTGACAGGCTACCCGTCCACTGTCCCGCGCCGCCGCCGCAGGGAGATCATCGCGATGCAGGATGGCCTGCGTGGACTCCTCACCCGCGTCACCTCGGTCAAGGACGACTGCACAAAGGCAGAGGCCGACAACGAGATGCTCCAGACCTACATCGACAGCGTCACAAAGAGCCTCGCCGCAAAGGAGCGCGGGTGACATCGAAGGCCTCTTTCCCACCTCCTCTCCATCTTCCCTCTCGCCCGCCCGCACGCACCGCCACCGCACCTGTACCACCACCGACGATACCAGCTCGATTAGCACTTTGAGCAGACGCAGCAGCATTCCATTCCATCCCATCCCAGTTCGAGGTATAGATCCAGCACCTTTGGCGGCCATTGGCCGAATCGACCGCGGGTATAACAGCCTCCTCACTCGACTGCCACGCCAAGCGCCACCCTCACGCCGCTGCAGTCGAGGCCCTCTCCGTTTCCCCACCGCCACCCGCGCTGCCACTAGGTGCAGCAAGCGCAGCCCCCTCGCCTTCCTCCTCGTCCTGCGTCGCCCAGCCGCCGTGGTTGCCGCCGTCCGGGCGTCGTTCCGACATCGACCTCCGCAGGTTGGTCTGGCGAAGGTTGTCGACGTAGCCATGGTCATCGGCCACGCTCACGTCCGGCAGGCCCTCCCTCTCCCTCTTGCGCCTGTCGCTCGCCTGCAGCCCGCCCCGCACCATGAGCTTGTTCCACAGCTTGAGGCCGTACCGCGTCCGCCCCTCAGCCGGCTTCTCGGCGTTGCTGTGGCGAGGCGCGGATCGAATTTTGAGCTTCGACTTCTTGACCCCCCGCTGCTCGGCCCGCACGTAGAGCATGGTGCGCAGCAGGTTGAGCGCCTCTTCGGTATCGCGACGTCCCGCCAGCGCGCTCGGAGGCGGTGTCTCGTCGACCAGCTCTAGCGGACCCAGTGCGCCCAGTCCGGACCAGACGCCTTCGTCCGACTCCAGGACGCCCTGGTCGAGTTCGTGCCTGCTCGGCTTGAGAAGGCCGAGCGATGCGGCGCGCTCCAGGAGCTTCTGCGCCGTCTCTTCGTTCTTGGCCCGCTGCTTTTCCACCTTGCGTGCCGTCTTTTCAAACTTTTTGGACCACAGCTCCTGACCCGAGAGATACCTGCGAGCATGTTCCATCCGAGGCGGGGAGGTGTGCGGTCATGTTAGCGATACTGAATCAGAGCAATACAGCAATACACACGGCGCATCGACTCACCTCTGGCACGGCCCTTCCTTGATCCGGCCGACCTCGTTTGCATCCATGCGCAGCGCCTGCAGCTCCGACTCGGGCTCCAGCGGCCGCAGGAAGCCCTTGACGTTGACGCGCTCCCGGATCATGTAGCTCTGGAACGAAGGCCGGGTGAGCGGCACCTGTCCCGTGTACTCGTTGCCCACGCCAATCGAGCTCGCCCTTCGCTTCTGCTCCCGAACGATGGCCTCCGAGGTAGCGGTCAGCGGGCTGTCGACGCTCAGCATCGCCGGTTTGTCGGCGGCGGCCGATGCCGGGTTCGACCCATTGGTGGTCGTGCCTGTGAGCGGCGCATCGCGCGAAGCGGACCGATAGGGCGAGTCGATCGTGCCGTTCTGCAGGCCGTTTGCATGAGCGACCGAGGTGTCGATTGGCGTAAGGCCACGGCTGAGGGCGGGGAAAATGGTCTGGCTTGCCTGCCTGGACGCCTGCGTCGAGTTGTTCGCTGAATGCTCGGGGCTCGCCACGTATGCGCCGGCGCCAGATGAGCTTGCGGTGGGGTAGGGCGACAGCACCTCCGACCCAGACCTCTGCGAGGTGTCTTCCGGCCCAAAGTCACCCTCGGCGACGTCGGGGAAGGGTTCCTTGACGTTGGTCGGAGCGCCCGTGACGTGCTTGATGAAAGACGCGATCGCCCGGTAGGCGAAGCGCGACTGGGTGGTGAAGGCGAACAGCGTCAGGACGTGGCACATGTCGTCGTAGACCTGCAGGTGCACCTTGGTGGGCTGGTCGTCGAACCGAGCGGCGTTCTGCCGAGCCCGCTCGCTGCGCTCGAGCAGATCGGCGCGCAACGGGTAGCGTCGAGGGTTGGCAGCGCGATGGGCCAGGTAGATGATCTCGTCCCTCAGCACCTCGGCGTTGCCAGCGATGATGTAGAGCGGCGGCAGGCCGCCCAGCGAGCCGTGCAGAATCGGCGAGCAGAGCGGGTGCGTGAGCTGGGCGTTGGTGGCATAGAGCTGAATCTGGCTGCGCAGCTGGATGTTGGCCTTGTCCGGGTCCTCGGTCCGCACCTCGATCGGCTCCGAGTAGAGCAGCTTGGGCGGCGGCGGCACGCCGTTGACGTAGGAGCGATCCCCGCTGGCTCCCTTGACCGCCTGTTCGCGTGGGTTCTTGGATGTGGTCATGTCCCCGGCATCCTCGCTCTTGCGAGCTGCAGAGAGGCTGCGGCGGCGCTGCGAGCTCCTGCTTCGCCTTCTGCTCTTGGTGGTATCCGGCCCATCTCCTTCGACTCCGATCGGCACTTTTCGTTCCGGCGAGTCCGGGCCTTCGTCGGTTTCGATGCCAGGTACTGGCCAGAGGGTGGATGGCTTGTGGATGAACCCGTAAGGAGGTATGACTGGACAGGGCCATGAGCAGGTTGAGGAGATCAGCTCGTCTGCAGCAAGCCCGAGCATTCACAGCGTCTGACTCACTGTCCGTAGCGGTGTTTTGCAGGATCGACGGAAAAGAGTGGGTCATGTCGCACCACGGCGAGATGAGGACGGCTCCCTGGCGATGTTGACAACGGAAAGAGGAGTCAGATGATCGCGGCCGGATCTGCCGACCGAGACGAATCTTCGAGCTACTCACTGCCGGCATGGGCAGGTCCATGTCCCTAAGAATGGTGAGCAGAGCCAACGAAAGGCCGCCTCCGGCGCTGTCTCCGGCGATGACGAGCTTGCTGGGGTCGATTGCCTTGTGCTTCGCTCCAGGAGGCGGCCGGATCAGGAAGAGGTAGGACGCCAGGCAGTCGAGCAAGGGGGCCGGCCAGGGGTACTGGGGCGCCTTGCGGTAGATGGGGGCAAAGCAGCGCCCTCCGAACTTGCGAGCGAAGCGAACGACCTGGTACCGATGGGTCGACATGCTGCCGAAGTAATAGCCGCCGCCGTGGAGGTAGAGGCACGTCCTCTGCAGCCGGTCCATCTCTTCGGATCGCGGCACCTCCTTCTTGCTGCTGCGGCGCGCGCCATCATCGTCGCTGTCGTCGGAATCCGGGGCGGCCGCCGCTTCGCTGGCCGCGGCGTTGGCGGAGCCAGACATCCGGGAGGTGAAGCTGCGCGACTTTTCGTGGCGGGCGTTGCGCTTGTTGCGCTTGTGAGCAGTCGAGGCAGGATTGCCCTTGTCGCTCTCCATCTTGCTGGCCTTTTTCCAGTCGGAGGTCTGGGCGATCCACTCGGCCTGGACGCCCGGGATGCTGCGGATCTGCCACCACTTTTCTCCGCCGATGAGGTCCTTGAGGTCCTTTGGTCCAAAGTACTGCTTGAGGATCTCTGCGGCCTGGTTGCAGCTCTCCATGGGCACCATGGTGGGGATCGAGATGGCCCATGGCGCGGCGGGGACGTGGGTGTTTGCAAACCTCTGGAGCGACTCGACCGTGTCGTGGGTGGCGAGCTCGATGAAGCTGCGCACGATGTTGAAGGCCTCGTCGAACAGGAGCTCGTCGGTGGCCTCGATGTGGCGGTCCTCTTTTGCCTTTTTGAGCTTGGCGTAGAAGTGGTTGAAGACGGTGCGGATGACGGTGGGCGAAATGTGGGCGGCAGTGCCCAAAGTCGTAATGGTCATGGCGGGCAGCGACGGTCGGTTCCGGTCCGATCCGGTTCTAGTCCGAGTTCGAGACAAGGCCGGCGACGCCCTGTTCGGCTTTGGATCCGTGCTTATTGACAGAGGGGACGAGGAAGGCGCCTGGCCGGCACGGGTGGCGTGATGGACGTGCTGGTGGCGGCAGCTTTGATGCGGGCACGCAGTCGGAAGCGCGGCAATCGTCTAGGAAGTTGGGGAAGATCAAATGGCCTTGGTCCGCACAATGACGCTAAGTAGTGAATCGACAAGGAAGTGGTGCGGATGGCAAGAGAGCGCTGGTGTATACGATGTGGAAGCCGCGAGGGTGAAGCAAAGCAGAGGCGGGCAGGCAACCTTGTCGAGGAGGGCGGGGCGGGGAGGCCTGGCCTGCATCGCCGGTCGGAGGGACGGGACGGGACCTGTCGCCTGCAGATCCCCCCCCCTGACCTGGACAGGCCTGTGGCCTGACCTACCTGGCTTTCCTCTGTGGCAGCGGCTGCTCGCCCCCGGATGCAACACAACTCTCCTGCCTCCACCTCGACCGGCGGCATGACGATGGAGCTCAGCTACGGCCACCGTCGTCGCGTCGGATGTCACCGAATTTCGTGCATCCGAACTCGCTTCAGCCTCCTGGCGGGTCGATCCCGATCCAGGCGGAACTTAAGAACCATCTTTCGGCCGATACCGACCCGCCGCCCCGGGGGATCAACTTTGACCCGCCAGGCCGGCCACCTTTGCCTCCCGCGATAGCCTGGATCGAGAGCTTGGTCCGACCGCGTCGGTCCCTCGTCCTTGTCGGCTGCCACCACCGAGCAGAAACCTGACTTCCTCGCCCACCTCGGAAGCCGAGCAACGGACGCAAAGCCTGTCTGTCTGCTGCCTGCCAGCACGCCTGCCTTCAATCAGGACACGTCGCAGGGGCAAAGCCAGCCAGAGAGCAGATCCCAGCCCAGACGACCTCGTTTGGCTACGTGCCACCATCGTCCCCACCACCACCGCCACCAATCCCTCGCTCGCCCTGCCCCTGACCCTGCCCCTGACCCTGCCCCTGCCCGGCCTCCTACCATGTCCGACCCGACCGCCTCCGACTTCAGCCAGATGGGCGAGCTCAGGCTCCACGTCTGGGGCTCAAATCTGCCCTCGCTCCCCACCCTCGACCCCACCTGCCTCTACGCCGCCTCGATGCTCCAGCACTCGTTCAGCCTCCGCAGATCCGACTCGGCCTTTCAGCTCAAGCTCGTCTCGGCGCTGCCCTCGACGCCCTCGGTGCCCTTGCTCGAGGTCGTCTCGCCCTCGGGCCAGGTACAGGTCCTCGACAGCATCGACGCCGTCCGACGCTTTTGCGTCCAAGAGGCCGGCCTCGACTCGGCCATCGAGGGCCTCGAGAGCACCTCGGCCAGCTCGGCAGACCACGCCGCCAAGGTGGCCAGGGCCGTCGCCCTCCATGCCCTCCTCGACGACGAGCTGCTCGACATCACCCTCCACTCGCTCTTCTCGTTCCCCGACAACTATCGTACCGTCACCTTCCCCGCCTACGCCAGCGTCGGAAAGCGCGATCCGGGCAGGGCCGCCGTTTCCTCCTACCTCACCCTCAACCCGTCCTCGAGCATCCCGGGCCGCCTCCGCAACCTCGTCGAGGCGCGGCTGTCCAACCCCGCCGTCGGTCTGTGGGGCGTGGGCGGGCGCGAGGGTGCAGCGCAGCGCAAGGAGATCGACGAGATGACCAGGAAGGCCAACATCCTGCCGCAGGGCAAAAAGGGCCTCGACGAGCAAATGAAGGACAAAGTCCGGGACGAGTACGAGCGCGGCAAAGTGAGTAGCATCGAACGTCGGCCCCACACAGCGAGAGACGCCGTCGACGCTGACCTAGAGAGCACCACGACCGCGCCCGCCGAACCGCCTCAGCTTGTCAACAAGGCCAAGCAGATCCTCGACATCTTTGCGGCGGCGCTCGACCAGGATCGCTGGCTCCTCGGCTCCTCGGCACCGACCGCGCTCGATCTCCACCTCTACGCCTACCTCGACCCGCTCATCTCGTGCCGACCGGAGCTGCCGACCGACACCATCCCTGTCCTGCTTCGCCAGGACTACCCAACTCTCGTCTCGCATGCGGTCAACGTCCGGCAGCAGCTCTGCCCGGAGGGCGACCGGACCATGGCGCCAATGTGGCTCTCGGCATCCGAGGCGGCGCGCAGCGGCCCTGGTGCTTCCGGAACCTCGTCATCCAGCTGGTCGCTCGGCAGCCTCTTTGGCTTCGGCGCCACCGACAACGCATCCAAGGCAAGTGTTCCCCTGTCCTCGTCGCCCGGGACGGCCGCAGGCAGCGCGAGGAGCAGCGATCTGCGGTCCAAGCCGTCGTCGTCAGGCAAGCCGGCGCTCAGCAGAGAGGAGAGGCGGCTGCGCATGGGCAGGGCCATCTGGATCTGCACCGCCCTCCTCGGCCTCGTCGGCTTCACCTTTGCCACCGGCATCGTGAGTATCGAGTGGAGGGACGCCGACGCGGAGGAAGCGGAGGGAGATGATGGCGAGAGCGAGCCAGGAGCGCGGCCGCTGGCGCCCGGCGCCGGGCATGGTGCGAAGGCCGACGACCCTTCAGAGGACGACGACGAGGAGGACAATGACGAGGAGGATGGGGACGAAGATGACGAGGACGACGAGGGCGAGGACGGGTGGCGTGTCGCGGGCGAAGACGACGACGATGAAGACGACGACGACGACGAGCTGGACGAGGTGTGGGATGGCGACGACGACGACGACGAATGACGGGCTGTACTCGTAGACGTCCCCGGGGCAAGGTCGTTGCGTTGCAATGGGACCGAGCGGTGGCGCGGTACCAGCTGCGCCTCTGTTCTTGCACAGCGCCGTCGTCTGCAAGGTCGGGAATGTTGACGTCCAGCTGCTCTCGCTCCTTTCTCCCATCCTCTGCCTCTGTCGACTGCAGGATCGCGGCCAGTGCGCCTCTTCCACGCCGCCGGGTCTCGCCGGCGCGAGTGCGACCTCCCGCTGGCCAGAGGAGACGACGTGTCCGCGCGTCCGCCACATTGTGACGGGCACGTTCAATACCGAGGCGCTGTACGTGCTCGGGTACGACATCCTCGACTCTTCGCTGCGCATCGAGCAGCGGATCGACGCCGAGGGGCCGCACCAGTTCCTCGCCCTCGGACGGACCGAGTCGGGCGGCAAGACAATCTACGCCACGACGTGGGCAAAGAGGAAGAGCCTGAGCGCCTGGAGCGTCGTCGGCGGCGGTGCCGGCAGCGGCGGCAGCGGCCAAGTGGGGCTGCGACACATCAACACCGTCGACATCACTGCCACCTCGTCGTACGTGCACGTCCAGCCGCCGCCGTATGCCTCGTTGACGGCGCCTTCGTACTGCCTGGCGCCGGGGCCTTCGCGCCACCTCTACTCGGCGGGCGGACCGACGGGGGAGCTGCACGCCCTCGACGGCGCGACGGGTGCGATCCTCGACAAGCGGCAGGAGTACGTCTACCTCGTCGGCGGCGAGGCGGCGCTGGCGGGCGCCGACAAGACGCGCAAGGCGCTGCGGTACGGCGCGCACAACCTCGACTTTGGGCCGCACCGCCTCGCCTACGTCGCCGACCTCGGGCGCAACGCCATCCTCGTCTACACCTACGACGACGAGGAAGCGGGTACGCTCCGGCTCGTCGAGCAGGTGCAGAGCCCGAGGGAGGGCGACGGCCCGCGCCACGTCGTGCCCTCGCCCGATGGGCACTGGTTCTTTTCCGTGACGGAGCACACGTCGTACGTCGACGTCTTCCGGATCCGCGCCGGCTCGCTCGACGGCGACGCGCGGGCAGGGTTGCAGGTCGAGTACGTCGAGTCGCTCGACATCCTGCCGCCGGGCCGGGAGCGCCACGACTTCCGCGGCGATACCGTGCGGATCTCGCCCGACGGCCGTGCGCTGCTGGCCTCGACGCGGGGCATGACGGCGTCGACGCGCGGTTTCGTGACGGCGTGGCGCCTCGACCTCTCCTCGCCCACGGCCCGCTCCCCCATCGTCGACGCCGACAGGGCGCTGGATCGATACGAGACGAGGACGTCGGGCGGCAAGGCCAACGCCATCGAGTGGGCGCCCCGGTACCCGCTGGTGCGGCCGGACCTCGGCAGCGCAGCCGAGGCCGAGGCCGAGGCGGGGGAGGGCGAGACAAAGGACCTCGTCATCCTCACCGACGACCTCGAGGGGTGGGTGGTGGTGCTCGAGTGGGACGGCAGCCGGCTCGTGGAAAAGGCCGACGTCAAGCTGCCGGGTCGCGCAGAGGACGGCGCAGACGAGGGCGCCAGCCACGCCATCTGGATCGACTGAAAGCGTCGAGGTCACGAGGCTGGAGGGCGGGCAGCGACAGCTATGCCCTCCCTCTTCATCGGTAGCAGGTCAAAATGCAGATCGCGCGCCCCTCTCGGGGTGCCTGTCCACCGTAGCAGAGCCGTGATGGCTCGTTACTCCCTTTTCACGTCGTGCGTCGTCGAGCTCGGGTGCCGGCTGCGGCGAGAGCCGGAATGGCGCCGCAGGTGCCGGTGTCAGATAATGATACACGATTTCATCCGCATGTCGGTGATGCGACTACGAGACTGGCCGGCTGGTCGCCTGGTCAGAGCTAGCGACACGAGAGCAGGCGTCATGGCTCCCAAAAGCAAGAACAGAGGGCCGGGAGTGGTTGTGCGTGTTTGGTGTCGGTCTCGATTCCGATCGGTCGATGGATGGGTCGGGTCGATTGGCTATGTGAGAGAAAAGTTCGCAGAGAGGCTGTCGGGATGCGCGCGTGCAAGAGCGAGGTGGTGTGCTTGTGTGCGTGACCTGCAGAGGGAAAATACTGCCGAGGATGGACGGAATGATGCTGGACTGGACTGAGGCGGGAGACAGAGATGAAGTGTGCGAGGCGGACCTGGGGAGGAGGAGGAGAGTGGACCTCGATATCCGCCGCGTGCCGCTTGCTCCAGTGCTCGGGTGAGGCGGCGGCTAACGGCGGCGGTGGGACAGGTGGCTGAACGTATCCCCTGGGCGAGGCGAGGCAGAGCTAAGCGTGCTCCTTTGTGCAATGGACATGAAGTAGTAGAAACCCAAAATGGATAACGAGAGCCAGAGGCGAGAGGCGAGAGCGAGAGAGAGCCGAGTCGAGCCGAGTCGAGTCGAGAAGCGGAGAGCGTGGCCCGGAAAGATGGAATCCCCTGCGTGAACCCGATGCGTGTATAAGTTGGTTGACGAGAGATCCCTTTGCTGAATGTGAACGACCCGAAGAGTTCTGAGAGAGAGGCCGGAAAGAGTCGAGGAGAGTCGAGCGAGAGAGAGAGAGAGAGAGAGAGAGAGAGAGG